TCTCCTGCATCGGCAGGCGGACTCTCAAGCACTGCGCCACCAGGGAAGCCCTCTTCAATGTTTTTTGAGCACTAGCTCAGAGGAAAGGACCATGCCAGCCCCAGAGGGAGGGAGAGGACTCTTCTAACCGGGAGACTATCCTTGCAAGACGGAGGACAAGTCACCTGGAGTCATTCCAGTCTGGAGGGGAGGGGACACGCCGTACCTGCAAGGCCTGGGACAGTCGTACGAAATCCCTCTGCACTTGCTCACTGGTCTCCAGCTCAGCCTGCAGCCGCAGCATCTTTGCCCTCTGTTCCGAGAGGAGGTCTGTGAGCTGGGCCTGGGGGCATAGGACGTAGAGCTGGGGCCCTGGGCTGAAGAAACAGGATGTCTGGACAGGGTAACCCCTTCAATATTGCCCCCGATCCTCACCTCTTCTGTGCGGCCCGAGCCCGGTGGCTGCCTCAGGACTTCCTGCTGCCTGGCCTAAGGGAGACATAAAGGGCAGCAGGGGCTGGTGAGGGTCCTCTCCACGCTGCCACCCTCCTCCGCCATCCCGGCCTGGCCCGGGTCCTGCCTCACCTTGCTCTGCTCCTGCTGGACCCGCTCCATCTCCATCCTCAGGCTGCACAGGGAGGCTGGGAAGTCAGGCAGGGCCAAGACGTCAGGCCCACGCCCTCTCTCCTTCCCCGACCCGGCCCGGCACAGGCTCCAGCCCATACTCACCCTCTAACACCTCTGTGCAGGAAGGAAAGAAAGAGAGGTCAAGGCTCATCATTCTCGCACTGCGTCCTCTCTCCCCTCCTGGTGCCCAGGCAGTCCCTGAGGGGGTGGGGACTCAGCCTCCCGGGGAGCGAGGGTGGGGTGGCTCGCCGCCTCCTCCCTCACCTGTCTCCTCCCGCTGCACCCTCAGCTGCCCCTCCAGGCTGGCCCTCGCCGCCGTCTCTTCCTCCAGCGCCTCCCGCAGGGTCACGATCTCAATCCGCAGCCGTTCGGCCTCGTGCTCCTGGGCCTGCTGGTGGGCCCGCGCATCCTGCTGCGTGCGGCGCACCAGCTGCCGCAGCTCCTGGAAGGATGCAAGTCACGGGCTGGGTGCGGGGCCGGCAGGGGGCCAGCAGCTAGAAGGGGTTTGTGGGGAGGGGAAAGGAAGGAAAGAAGGAAGAAAACATAACAGAAGAAACAACCCAAACACCCATCACGGGGAGAGTGGACAAATACTCTGGGATTTGTGAATATTTTCCCACAGCACAACCCGGGGTGGAGGACCTCAGGGGCGGTGCTGAGCGAAAGCTCCAGGAGACTACGCAGAGCAAGATTCTGAGTTTTTATAACTAAAAACAACTAAAATTAGCACTCCACAGTTCAGGCAGACGTGTGTATGTGATAAAAATGATCCCAAAGAAGGGCAAGGGAATGATAAAGCTCAGGACGGCAGGAACAGAGCCAAGGAACACGGAGCGGGGCGCATGTAAGGCGATGTCAGTTACAGTTCTCAAGGTGGGCAAGGGTTCTGGCTGATGTTCATATTTTTAATAAATTCAATCAGCAGAGGCCACACACAGATCAAAGATGACAGCTTGTTATGAACCAAAGATTATGATGAATTCAGTTTTGTGGATCTCATGTCACTTAAAAATAATAAGCCAAATTACTGCTTCCTTTTCATCAAGCATTCTGTTAACTCATTTTCTCTCTGTGCTGATGCTGGGAGGGGGTGTGGTCCCATTTGGCAGAGGAGGAAACTGAGCCTTAGAAAAGTTGAGTGAGTTGGCCATGGTGACGCAGCTAATACACAGCAGCCTGGGTGCGTCCCCGCCGCCCGTGGCCCCAGGCCAATGCTTTGCTGTGCGTGGAGAGGAAGGGCCTGTCCCCCGCCTTACCAGCAGCGAGCCGGGCAGCAACTCCTCCTGGCCCTCATCCTGCTCCAGGCCCCGGGGGGATGAAGACGGTGGCTGCTCAGCCCGGAGCCCTTGGTTTTCCTCAGTCAGTCGCTTTACCTCGTGGCTCAGGCACTTGTGTGAGGTAGCCAGCTCTGCCTGGGGATGGACAGTTAGGACGAGGCGATGAGGGGACAGGGGTTCTCCAGTCTCCCGTGAGGCCAAAGCCTGAACACTCCTCCCAGTGGTCAGGAATGAGAACCAGGAAGCCCACGCCCTCCTTCTAGGCTGAGAAAGAAAGAAACACCCTTTAGAAAGCGTCTTTGGCTCCCAAGCTCTTTTTTTTTTTTGGCCACACCACGTGGTTCACGGGATCTTAGTTCCCTGACCAGGGATCGAACCTGGGCCCCCTGCAGTGGAAGCATGGAGTCTTAACCACTGGACCGCCAGGGAACTCCCTCAAGCTCTTTCTACACCCTCCTCGATGACTTGGAGGTCACACAGTGGCAGCCACAGGCCACATCGGGTGTTTTATTTGGTTCATATGGGTGTTTTTAAACCTTAAACAAGGGGCTTCCCTAGTGGCGCAGGGGTTGAGAGTCCGCCTGCCGATGCAGGGGATGCGGGTTCGTGCCTCGGTCCGGGAGGATCCCACATGCCGCGGAGTGGCTGGGCCCGTGAGCCATGGCCGCTGAGCCTGCACGTCCAGAGCCTGTGCTCCGCAACGGGAGAACAGGAGAGGCCACAACAGTGAGAGGCCCATGTATCGCAACAAAACAAAACAAAACAAAACAAAAAAACCTTAAACAAGTACAACATTAAAAACTGGGAGACTACACACAAACATCCGGATCTCTGGCTTCTCCTGACAAATGAGAAAACCAGGCAGCATCAAGCCTGCACTCCCACGCACCATGGGCAGCAAGTCAAGGGGCACTAGCTCCCTTTACAGGGTCTCTTGGTTTGCCCTGCTGCTCCGTCCTGCCTCACACGTGGCTCAGTTCAATCATCTGCCTCTCCTGTCTGGTCTCAGGAAGTATCCGATTTTGCAATCCCTGCTTTTCATTCTCACAACTCTGTAAGCTAGGACCCATTATCTCAATTTCAAGGCACCAAGGCTGAGGCTCTGGGCTTGTGGGATTAGCTCAGATCACAGAGTGAGTGCGTGGTGGGTTCTTCTGAATCAGTACCAGGTGCCCTTGAAACCCTTTTACCCACCTGGCACCAACTCCAGGGCAAAGCCAGAGCGGCTGGTGGGGGGTGGGCAGGGGGCGAGGAAGGACAGGTGCCTCAAACTTCCACGTGGCTCCCTCAACCAATTCCCGTCCCAGTCCTCTCCCTCCCGTCCCGGCCCCCAGCCCTCACCATCTGCAGCTGAACCCGCTCCTGGGCCTGGCTCACGGTCCCCTGCAGGGTCCGCAGCAGCTGCTCTGAGTTCTGGACCTGGGCCAGGAGCACCTGCATCTGTGGGTGGAAGGGGGGCAAGGGTGAGGCCAGGCCAGGAGGAGGCAGGGAGCGGAGGCCCTGCGGAGCAGAGGCTGAACCCACCTGCTTGGCGCAGTCCTCATTACTCCGTCTCAGGCCCTCTTGCAGCTCGTCCCGCTCCCGACTGATGCTCTCCAGGTCCTTCTGCAGCTGCCGCCCCTGCCACAGACGCCAGCCTCAGCCTCAACCGCCAAGGGGAGGCCTTCCCTCCTCGCCAGACCTCTCACGCCTTGCCCCCTGCACCTCAGTGGGCAGTGCCATCATTCACCCAGTCGTTCAAGGCAAAGGCCCAGGAATGGATGCTGACTCTTCTAAGTCCTCCACTCCCCAGGTCCAACCCACCAGCAGTCCCTGCCCGGCGGCCTCCAAAGTGGATTCCAAATCCACCCATTTCTCTCCACCTCTGCTGCCATCTCCTGGTCCCAGTCGCTACCTTTCTCTAAACTGTGTCAAGCATCGCCCTCCCAACCGGTCACCACCCTGCTTCTCCCGTTGCCCCCTCCCCCAACTGCAGTCCATTCCCACCCAGAGGCCCCAGTGACCAGTTAAAAGCCAGGAGCAGAGAAGGCTTCTCCCTGCCTGACACGCCACAGAGGCTTCCTGCACCTTCTCCTCTAAGATGCAAACTCCATGGCTGGCCCCAAGGCCAAGGCCGACCTCCTGTGACCCCTGCCTGCCTTTCTGACCTCATCTCTCTTCCCCTCCTCTGTGGCCTTCCTGCTCCTCAGACACACCGTGATCTGTCTGTCCTCTGGGCCTTGGAAACTGCAGTTCCTTTGGCCCCCAATCTTCAAAAAGCACCTCATTTTCCAGCCAGGATGGTCTCCTGCATTGCCACTCTCTACCCCATGACCCTATTAAGTCTTGTTCTGGGTGTCCCACCCTGTGACACTGTCTTCCTCATGTGCCCATGTGCATATTTGGGCCTGGCTCCCTCACTAGAGGAAGCACCAAGAGGGTGGGAGGTTTCTTCTTCACTGCAGGACCCCCAGCTCTAGCTCAGGGCCTGGACATAGTAGGTGCTCAGTAAGTACTTGAAGCAAGAGACGGATGGGTGCACATCGGCTGCCCACTCCACTCACCTCCACCTGCAGCTGCTCCCACTGGTTGTCTGGGACGAGCTGGTAACCAGGAGGGGGCAGGTAGATGCCCTCAGGGACCAGGGTGCCCGTGGACACCAGAGAGGCTGTCTCCTCCTGCTCGGGGCTCAGGCCATGGCGGCTGCGGGGCAGAGAGGCGCTGCCGCTGGCCCCACCACCGAGGGAGAAGGAGGAAATGGAGGCGCTGTCATCACAGTTGTGGGCGAAGGCCTCGGCCGCCGCACCCCCATCTCCACTCAGGTCCTCGAGAGGCTCCAGTGGCGGAGATGGGTCCCGGGACAGAAGCAACTCCGCGGAGCCGTGCAGGGAAGGGGGATGCCGGGGACGTCTCTAGGGAGAGGGGGCAGGGAAGAGGCTGGGGGGCCAGGGTCCTGTGGCGCCCCTGCTTCTCTCAGCGCCCCCTGGCCACCCCCTCACCTGGATCTCTTTATTTCTTTATTTTTTTACGGTACGTGGGCCTCTCGTTGTGGCCTCTCCCATTGCCGAGCACAGGCTCCGGATGCGCAGGCTCAGTGGCCATGGCTCACGAGCCCAGCTGCTCCGCAGCATGTGGGATCCTCCCGGACCGGGGCACGAACCCGTGTCCCCTGCATCAGCAGGCGGACTCTCAACCACTACGCCACCAGGGAAGCCCCACCTGGATCTCTTGGATCAGCTCCTCTGCCCTCAGCAATTTCGCCTTCAGCTCCTCAATCTCCTGCTCCATGGGCAACACGATCTCCCGCAGCTTCTCCGAGTCCTCGTGGGCCTGAGGAAGGGGGGTTGGGCAGTGACTGTCCCCCCTCCTGACTGCAGGACCCTCAGGACTGTTCAGAGCTTTCCCTCCAAGCACATCAGCTCTTCTAATTCTCCCAAGAAGGCACCGTCCACCCCCACTTTATTTATTTACTTTTTTAATATTTTATTTATTTATTTTTGGCTGTGATGGGTCTTCGTTGCTGCGCGCAGGCTTTCTCTTGTTGCGGCGAGCGGGGGCTACTCTTCGTTGCGGTGCACAGGCTTCTTATTGCAGTGGCTTTTCTTGTTGTGGAGCACGGGCTCTAGGTGCGCGGGCTGCAGCAGTTGCGGCACGTGGGCTCAGTAACTGTGGCTCGCGGGCTCTAGGGCGCAGACTCAGTAGTTGTGGCGCACGGGCTTCGATGCTCTGCAGCATGTGGGATCCTCCCGGACCGGGGCTCAAACCTGTGTCCCCTGCATTGGCAGGCGGATTCTTAAACACTGCGCCACCAGGGAAGTCCCCACCCCCATTTTAGAGAGAGGAACACAGAGGCTCTGAGAGCTTACATGACTTGCCCCAGGTAACATGGTACAGAACCAAAGTCACAACTACCTTCCTGTTGCCCACTTGTAGAGTGACATACATTTCTTCCCCAACATCATGTATCCCGTTTTCTTTTATCATAGAACGTCACATTTTTAGTTGGGCTCATGACCTAAATTCTAGAATACCATCTACATTTCTCAGCTTCCCTATAACTAAGCATGGCCATATGACTAAGTTCCAGCTATGAGATGTAGGCATATGTGTCAGGTGCAACTTCCAGGACAACTCCTCAAAGGGAGAGGGTGTGCTTTTTACTCCTCCTCCTCCTCCTTGCTGGCTAAAATGTGGACGTGATGGCTGGTGCTCAAGCAGTCATCTTGGACCATGAGGCAGTAAGCTACCTATGGCAAAACAGCAACATAGGAGGAGCCTGGGTTCCTATTGATTTGTTGAGCTGCCACATCAGTCCTGGAATGTCTACCTCTGGTTCTAAGAAAAACAGATTTCTATCTTATTTAAGCCACTGTTATTTGGGCTTTCAAACTTTGTCCTAATCAATATGTCTTCCCATACTCCCATCACCGGCATATTTCTGGCCACTTCTTTTCAGTCTTTTCAGGTCTGGGATCCTGTTGAACTTGCACAGCCAACAGCCTCTGGACACCTCCACTTGGATGTTGCACAGGTTCCTCTGTCCAAGTACAGCCAAATCGGAACCAACTCATGATGCCGTTTCTCCTCCCATAAGCGCTAGATTGGTGAGAATGACCCTGCTATCCACCCAGCTGTCCAAGACAGAAATCTGCCAGTCATCCATCCTCTTCCAAGTCATGCCATTTCTACCTCTTGAATCACTCAAAAACCCGTCTCAGACAAGTTCAGTTTAACCCTCCAAATCTCTTATGTGCACAGTGGCAACAGGTAGGGTAAGCCTGCATGCTCTGCAGATGCCCACGCCGTAGATGGATGCAAGCCCAGGACTGGAACTTCCCCACTCTGGGCCAGTGGCTCCTTCCGCCGTACCAGGTAGCCTTAATTCAGCGGAGCCCTCTCCTTCACCACCCTCTGTAACCGCTCCCTGAGGAACACGCTGAATGCAAGTAAGTAGCAGTCTCTGCTGGCAAACTGTGTGTTGGAACCTTCCTTTCTTGGGCTCCTATTTTGATCTGTGTCCTTCTAACCAGGCAACTTACTCTATCTGCCTGAGCCGCAGTTTCTTCACGTATAAAGTGAGGTAAGTACCTACCTCACAAGGTAGCTGTGTGAATCAAAAGAGGGAAGATGTGAATTTGCTCTGAAAGATGAAGAGTTTGGTAATATGTGCTTCCTACAATTGTTCATGACAAGAATAATGGAGGCAATATACCACAGAGATTAAGAGCAAAGCTTTAGAACCAGACTGCCTAGATTTTAAAATCCCAGATCTGCTCCTTTTTATATGCATAACCTGGGGAGAATTACTAAACTTCTCTGAGCCTCACCTTACTCATCTGTTAAATGGATCTAATGGGTCCCTCTTTTAGGGGAAAGACTGGGGCGACTTGAGTCTGTCAAGCAGGTATTGCAATGCCTAGTGCATGAGAGGTATCCTTAAATGCTAGCTCCCTCCCCTCTACATGACATGATTTTTTTCTTTTTTTTGGCTGTGCCACGTGGCCTGCGGGATTTTAGTTCCCCAACCAGGGATCGAACCCGGGCCCCTGCAGTGAAAGCACAAGTCCCAACCACTGGACCGCCAGGGAATTCCCTACATGACTTTTCTTAATTTGGGAGGTAAACACACCTGGCCATCCCACTAGTAAGTGGCAAGCCAGGACCGTGCTGAGTACAGGGCTCGTGTATGTTATACCTAGAATTATTACTGGGTGCCCTGCTCCCAGTGGTGTGGCAGTGGGACACAGATAATCCCTCTGCCCCACGGTCACCTTTGGCTGCTTCAACGTATTTCCAAATCCCTGAGGAGGGGGCATGTAGGCTATCCCAACTCCAACCTTTTCCATCTGCTTCTCCAAGGAGTCCAGGGGGTGAGCCCTGGACAGCAGCTGCTTCAGGCGCTCCAGCTCCCGCTCCTTCTCCTCACAGTCCTGCTGCTGCTGCTGCCACTCCTGCTTCAGAGACGTGATCTGGGCTTCATAGCTGCTGATGGAGTCTGGCGAGACAGGAAGGACAGAGGAGAGGGAGGGTCAGTACGCCAGCCCTACCTCGGGGCGGGCGGGGGGCGCTCCATCACTGCCGCTCTCTGCAAGGCAATTTACCACAGCAGTGATGACAGTGGACTTTGTGGTGGGATGGTCCTGGGCAATCAGTTCACCTCTCTGTATAATGTCCTCGGCCAATGATTATCCCACTGGCTTGTTACAGGATCAAATGACATGATATCTGGAAGGGGTTCAGCCCTCTTCCTGGTACATAATAAATGCTAAAGATAGGCTATCTGTTGCTATTAATACATACCGATAACAATCAATATCTAGTAAGTCATAAATATTCACTCTGGACCAGACTCTGAGCTGGGCTCTGGAAATAGAGAAATTAATCAAACACAAACCCTGACACCAGGAGCCCACAGTCCAATGAGGAAGACAGCCATGGAAATAGTTACAAAGCAGTGTGAGGAGAGCTCATGAAAGGACCACTCCTGGGCTTGCGGATCCCAGAGGAAAGAGCCCCTCGCTCTACCTGCCAGGCCAGGAGAGACACCAGCAAGTGGTAAAGGATGGAAAGGACACATTAAGTAACAGGAGCAAAGGCTCACAGGTGGGAAGGTGGATGGTGTGGCTGGGGCATGGTGGGCACATTGGAAAAACTGGAGTGAAGATGTAGGAGGAGATGCTGGGAAGGGTGAAAAAGGTGGCCGTGAATGGCTGCTAAGGCCTTGAATGCCACGCCAAGGAGTTTGGGATTTATCCTACATGTCAGTGGGAGGTAAGCGGATGCTGGGCAGAACATGGTCATTTTTCATTTGCATAGTTATTTATTTTAACACATACCGACATTAGAAGTAAGGGTTCTGTTGCCAGACTGCCTGGGTTCAAATCTCCTTTCTATCTGTATGACCTTAGGCAAGTTATCTAACCTCTCTGGGCCTCAGAGCTTCCTCTGTAAAATGGAGATGGATAATAGTTCCTAACTCATAGAGATTATTACAAAGATTAAATACTCATAAAGCATTTAGCTCAGTGCCTGGCACTCAATAAATGTTAGTTATTATTATTATTATTACTATTATTATTATTTAGGACACAGTTTCTTATAGGGACAGGAAGTTCCCTTTAAAATAAATGTATATAGGTTTTTTAAAAGTGGATCTATTTAAAGAACAATATTAAGTAGATGACAGGGTAAGTCATACAAGGACAACCATGTTACACAGATGGTACATGGATGCCTGAAATGTGGGGAACCATGGCCCCAGAGAAGTCTGGAGCCAGGAGCAGTTGTTAGAAAGGGAAATGACATGGTGGGATGGGAACTGTAGGAAGTTTACTCTGGAAGTCAATGTCAAGGCCAGATTATAGAGGGAGACTTGTAAGAAGGCTGGGACAACAGTCCGGGGAAGTTGACGAGAGCTTTGCTACAGCAGTGGCAGTGGAAGCAAAGGGGTGGGATGCAACTGGGAGCTAATGCAGAGACTCTGGCCTTGGACTACAGGAGAAGGGGAATGGAGGAAAAGAAGCTGGGGGATCTGGGACGAGGGGAGCTGATGCGTCGCAAGTACAGAGGATGAGAGGGAGAGAAGTCGGTGCATGTGGTGCGGGGTGGCGGGGAGGTTGTGCGCGGACGTAGGGGTGTTTGGGGAAGAAGGGAAACCAGATGATGAGACTTACAGAGACTAGGCCCAGGGCCGAATCTGAAGGCCAGAGGCTCAAACGAGTTCTCAGGGAACTGAGAAGCTGCTCACTTTCAGGGTTGATCAGTCATCAGTGAGGGACAAGAAATGACACGACATGGGGCCAGGGAACAGGTAGCAGCTCCGAGCTAAACTTAGCTGGAACTGACAGAGCTGCTGCTAGTGCAGGCAGCGCCGCTATGCAAATTAGAAAAGGGCGCGTCTCCCTCTGAGCCCCTGGGTCTGCCCTGCGCTAGGCAGCCCTGCTAACCTACCCCATAGGTGTAGGTTATGCCCGCTGACCCCTTTCTTGTCATGCACTCCCCGTTATGGAGCTGAGGGAGTCTGGGAGGAGTGCCTGCCTCACCTTTCAGGATGGCTTGCAGCGAGGCCACCTCCTCTTGGCATTGCCGCTGCACTGCAGCCACAGCCTCGGCCTTCGTGCTCTCGCTCACCTCGGCCACAGCCTTCATGGTTTCCATTTCTGCCAGGGCGCCTGCCAGCTCAGCCCGAAGCCGGTCGAGCTCCCCTGACTCGGCCTCAACTTTTGTCCCCTCCGGGGTCTGGGGGTACAGCGCTGTGCAGGACAGGGATCAGACTCTTTTCTCATCACTCTCGGATTCCCAGTATTCCCAGGGCATCAAATCCTCAACTTCTGCAACTTAGTACAGCAGCCAAGGTCCCTGCCCCTTTACCTAGCCCCGCCCCACTCACCTGGCCCCTCCCCTTCCCCGACTCCTCCTCACCTAGCTCTGCCTAGTGTTGTCTAGAGCCCCGCCTCTTCCTCCCTCGGTTCACCCAATCCCCTCTTTTCTCTGACACGACCCCTCCCTTCTAGTGGCTCGCCCCTTGTCCACCTGGCTCCTCCCCTCCCACACTGGGCCCCACCTCTAACCTGCCACTGGCCCTCTCCCTTGAATCGCTAGACCACGCCCCC